TGTACAAGAAGGCCAAAATCGCATTCAGCAGCTTGATACGCAGCTTAATGAGAAGCTTGATGAGCCTACACCTATGCCTCAACGGCGAGCTCCACAACGCTGCAGTGGCTGTGGGACTATTGGACATACCATAAGGAATTGTCCTAATAAATAGCTATATATTCAACTACTAGATAGTCTAATTTAATTGTATTGGTGGTTGAAAAGCTTCAAAATTATAGTGGGTGCGGCGAAAATTCGTCGCTCGGTGGTATTCGTCGCTCGGTGGTTGATTACGTTACGGATCAAAGGATGACTAAGCGGCCGCGCCAAGCCTCCTGTCCGCAAGCCGACTTCGCCAAAGTCGTTCCGATCTCCAACATCGAACATTAATCACGTCTGCCACCTCCTCTCCGCAATCACCACTCTTCTATCACCATTATCCAGTCGCGATGATGTCCCAGTCCCTCCGAGCATCGGTAAGGATGGTCTTATGCTCACCAGTCTACTAATTGATGCCGTTGCTGACCTGCGACATGTGTTTTTCCAGCGCTCTCTGCTCACCCGAGTCACCCGGCAGTCCGGTGCCGTTTCTCGCCGGACCTTCCTGACCACTGCTGCCCGTCGGGGTACGTAAAGCCCTTTTTCTTCCCTCTTCGCGTTGCTTGTGTCTGGGTGTCACCGTCGCAATTGGCTGACTGGCAATCGACACAAATAGCCGACCCGGTGCAGGACCTGTACCTGCGTGAACTCCGTGCCTACAAGCCCACGCCGCCCAAGCCAGGCGATGCCGAGGCCCACGTCCAGAAGTTCACCGTGCCGACGCCGCCTCCCTCGCCCGAGGAGGCCAACCTCGCCAACGAGCTGAAGGCGTACGAGAGCCAGGAAGTGGAGGTGGAAGGCCAGGCTGCGGCTGGCGAGCCCGCCCCGGTTGAAGAGAGCTGGTTCGAGGAGGAAGAGGACGAGGCTCCTGCTGCTCACTAAGATGGAATCAGTCATCAACAATTCGTGTGTGAGGGAGGGGATGAAGGAACCGACCGAACGGAACGGAACGAAACGTTGCATCAGACAGGTTGGCAGTCGTCCTGGACGGACGGCGCGAAAACTTTTGTATACAGTCTCTTCCATTGATTGAAGCATGTAAATTAACAATGTAACAAGCTTCGCAAGAAATTTCTTTTTTTTTTCTCTTTTGTTTTCCCTTTTGTATCCGTTCGAATGCTTATGGAGAATATGATTAACATGGAGTAGGTACGAATGGAATAGCGCTGTTCGTATCTGATGTATAACTACTGATATAGATGACAAAACGTCCAGAATAGACAAAAACAAGGCACAGAAATCCCCTGCTCCAAGAAGGCGACGGATGGAGAGAGGGAGATGATGTATTTGTCAAGTTTAGGAGGTACCTTTTTTTTCAATTACCTTGCTTATTATTGGAGAGTAGTAGAGCGTCAGAGAAAGAAGATTATTGACGATTTTGGAGGTATCTTGGTATTGGTGGTATGGCTTTACCTAGGTACCTTAGGTACTAAGGTACGGCTTCCTTACCTAGGAAGCCTAACAGCTGATGCCCTCCCTGGCTGTGATAGTTGGTAATAGTGAGGAATTCAGTTCAGATATACTACTGATTATAATTGCATGTAACTACCTAGATAGTTGGTCTAAGGGACGAAATCTAAGAAAAAAAGAAGGAGGGAGAAGGGGTTAAAAAGAAATAGTTCCTTTCTCCCTTCAGGGCCGGTGGTTGAAGTAAAAAGAGAGAGAGCCTTCATAAGGTAAATCTCCTCTGTAGGTATTGTATCAAGGTTTGACTGATTGATAGGATTCTATCTAGCTATCTCCACAATTACTGTTTCTGTCTCTGTTGTCTCTCCGGCTGGACTGACTAACCACTTTACCTGTATGCGGAGATATAGATATACAGGAAGAAAGTTTAGGCACTTTTCTCTCTCCCCCTCTTTTTTTTCGATGAAATCCTTTCGAGACTACTGGGTACTGAACAGTACTTATCGAACTAGACTGGATTCCAGTCTAGTTAGTAGTACTACTGTACTGTACATGCCATCTGCCTGTCTGTCCTCTTTAGGTAGGATACTTTCTTAGCTCCAGAATTTATTTCAGGGTACGATCTATTGGATTGGATGAAGGGGCTGCCACGTCCTATCCTGCGCGTGCTGGGTTTAAAAAAAACCAAAAACTAAAAAAACAACCGCACTATGAGAGGTTGTATCCCTTGCATAAGTCAGCAGGAAGTAGTAGTAGGAAATGCTAAACTTAGCTTGAGTCCTGCAAGTCCTGCATAGGTATACATTAGTTACCTAGGTCGTGTATGCATGTGCTTGTATTGTCCGTGACATGTGGCTGGAAGGATGATCGGCTAGATTAATAAGATTCATAAGATCAATTAATTAATTTAGGTTCAAAGCTTGTTCTGCAGTCCCTCTGTGCGCCGTGTTGGGATGGATGGATGGAATGTGGGAGGGAGCGAGGCTGGCATCGACGGAGGTAATTCGGAGAACAGTAAACAACAGCCATCATGGCCATTGATACCACCAGAATGAGGATGAGGCTGAGAGAACACCAGAAGAAAAGAAGATCCTCAGATCATGGCGTTTATTTCCCGTCTCTTTCTTCACTAATCTTCACGATCATGCTCGTTAGGTGGGGTCTGCCAAGACTTGGTTTCGATCGTAAACGAGATCAAAGACAAGCCTCAATGAAAGAAATGTCTTTCAGACAGTCAGATTCTCTGCTCAGAAATCCAGCCAGTCTTACAACCCTGATAACAGTATCGTACGAGTCTCTGTCCTCTGTCCTCGTACGCTTACTTCGGTCAGATCTCCACTGCTCAACACTGTCTGTTCGCCAGGACTGGATCGAGCTATTGAATCCCCGATCGCTAGGCTCGGGTGTAGCAGTCGTTCAGCAGTTCCGTAGGCCGTAGTTCCCTGCTAGCTGCGTGCCTAGCGCGCTTTATTAATACTGTCTGACCCGAATCTCCCGATCGCCAGCACGCCGTCGGCGGCCTCGTCAGTGGCCCACCGCGCCGGGGCAATACGCCGACGCTGGCCAGCTGGATCGGTGAGGCTGAGGGCTGCTGATGCAAGATGTGAGTTCATCGTCTGTCATTTGATATGTAGCATGCCAGCTGTGCCACGACGGGCGACTTCGAGAAGGTTCATGGCCGTAGAGCGAGGAAGGGCCCGGCGCGCATGTCGTCATTCCCTGGTTCCTGCGAACTCAATGGGAGGGCCGCTGTAATTCAGCCCTGCGGCTTGGATAATTGGATTTATCCCCTCCATCCATCTCCGCCGGCCGCGTCGATCTCCCTTCGCTCGCTCAGTAATCCGCAGTAGATCGCCGTCTGTCGTCTTCTCCTCTGCTGCCGGGCGTCTTCACCGTCCCGCCGTCTCCCCGTCAGTCATCGCGCTGCCTCGTCATCGCCCACGCCCTTCCGCTCGTTCCACCATTTCGCTTTCGCTCCCACGGTTCGTCGCCCCCCAGAACCGCCCTCCACTCTGTCTGCTCGTTGTTTGTGATTACCAACACCCTCGTTCGTACCACCGCCCGTCCGCCTTGCTTCCTCCCTCGCGATCCGCTGCATTCCTCAGCACGGCCGACGGGAGTGCCATCCACCACCTCGCCCTCACCCCTCTCTCGCCTGCCATCGATACTATACTATATGGTTTGACCGCTGCCCTTTTCCTTGCTCTCGTTCGTGGAGAGCTGGCCTCTCCAGACACCACCGCCGGCAATGGCACACAGCCCAGGCGACGTCCAGGTCTCGTTGCCTCCGCCCAATCCGCTGCCGACCTTCTCGACAGATCCCGTCCCGGATGACGACCCGAATGCCTTCGTCCCTCGTACCGCCAGCCTCAACTCCATCTCCCAAGACCGCGATGCCAGGCCCGGCTCCCCCGGAGTCAAGAGGACCATCTCCGACGCCAGTCTCCCGGGCAAGTCGCAGTCGCCCTCCAAAGAGAACCTCCCCACGGGCAAAGACCTCTTTCGACGCGTGACGCTCCGCTCTCCCTCCCGCAAGTCCAAGGCCGCAGTCTCTCGTGGCACTGTCTCTACGGAGGAATTGAACGACGCCGCGGGTGCCGGGGGTTCGGATGACACCACGCTGAAAGAAAAATCTCACAACGTGGCCGCTGGGAGCAGCAGCAAAGACGCCCAGGATGCCCTGCCGGAGCCCGTGGCACGACCCCCCAGGGCTCGTTCGGTATCCGGCAGGATAGCCACTCTCGCCCGGAAAACATGGATCTCGTCGTCTCGATCTCCGTCTCCGGCTCCCAGAGGATCCCGACGGAGTGCGGCTCCTTCTCGAGAACAATCTCCTGCGAGACGAGAGCAGGCATCATCTGCCGAGTCATCATCTCCAAAGGGAGACTCTGATGACACCAATGCTGCCAGCCCGTCACGCAGAAAAAGCATCTTGAGCAAAAGACCTCGCCGTCCGTTGAGCACCTTCGTCTCCCGAAGCAAGTCGGATGATCCCGCGTCGAGCTCGACGTCGGGCTCCCTACGAAGCAAAACCTCCTTCGAGAAGCTGACGTCGCTCCATGTCTCGACTCCCGTTCTGCCTCCAGTTCCTCGACCTACGGCAACCTCCGTGCCCGCAACGGTGGAGGTTCCCCGGAAGAAGGATGAGCTCTGGAGCGTGTTCCGAGGGTTGGAGTCGGACTATCAAAAGTACGTCTTTTCAATTGAATTCAGTCCTGCTGGATGTGCTAATTTTTTTTTCTCCTCTTGTAGGTTTCAATCCAAGTCCAATACTCTCAAGGTCAACGTGGTTCGGTCAGCGCTTCTCCCTTTCCTCAACCGCTACGCCTCCCATCCTTCTGTCAAGAATCTACGACCCGAAGATCTTGACCGCCGCGTGAATATCCTGAACAAGTGGTGGACGGGCTTACTCGAGATGCTCAATGGCAGGAATCACCAGTCGATCTCGGGAACCGACCGGCCCGTCTACCTGGAAGCAGTGGCCGGCATCATGATGCGACCGGAATGGCGGATCCCCTTCAAATCCTCCCAGCCGGCGAATCCCGTTCAGATGCAGCCGGCCTCGATAGCGGGGTCGAATACCTCACTGGATTCGGGAGGATCCGATTTTCTGGTTGAGTCGATCCATCACAATGTCCGAAACATCTTCATCCAGAATCTCCTCTCCCAAATGACGTTTGTCGTGGAAAGAATGTCGATGAGGCACGCCCCCGCGAGCCTCGTGGCGTTTTGCGGGAAAGCATGTGCCTATGCGTTCTTCTTCTGCCCCGGCGTGGCCGATATGCTGGTGCGATTGTGGAACACGCCCCCCGACATCCTCCGGCGAGTGCTCGCGGAGTCGGGTGTATACCGGGGTCTTGAGGCACGATCGGCAGCGAAAGAGCTTGCTCTGAGTTTTCCCCCTGCGGTGAGAACGTTGGCGTTTTCCTCTCATGCTTCGCTGGTCCGGTACCTCCGTCAGCCGCCGGACATGCCGTTGAGTGCATCGCAGATCCCATGGCATGGCCCGTGGCTGTCTCGTTGGTGCGGGCGAGACACCGACCTCTTCTTCGTCTTTGTCAAGTACTTCCACACGCTGTTTTCTGAGTTCATCCCGCGGGACATCGAGAAGTCGAAGCGGATCTTTGCCCCGGGCATCTTGCCGGTCCATGGCCAACTGCTGGTGGTGTTGGAAGACACCCTCTACAAGCAGTCCGGTCCGCAGATGCCCGAGAATCCCCATGCCGTCTCGTCGATCACGTTTGACGATTTCATGGAAGGACCCGACGCGTCCGTCTCCGCACTGCCTCTGGGGTCCGCCAATTGCCATCGCTCGATGGCGGAAAACCGCCTGATCATTCTCTTGCGGGATTTCTTGTCCGAGTCTTCCCAGGAACCGACAGAGGCCCGACGGTTGTACGCCGAATCGTTCACCAGCATCATGAAGGCGGCGGCGCGAAAGACCTCGCTCTTCGACCACAATGCGTGTTTCGTGCTGTGCGACTTTATCGAAGAGGCCATCACCATCATTACGCGATACTGTCAATCGATCAAGGAGGACCTCTTTGACTGGAAGTTCTGGCTCGATGTCTGCAAACAGATGACCCGCAGCCATAATGCGCTGACGGAAGTCCGGGTCTTTGCGTTTATCTACTGTGTCTGGACGACCTGGACGAGCAATGAAGAGAGGAAACGGGATCTTTGCCTGGGGTTTCTGCTCCACGAGGATTACTTTTATCATTATTTCAGCCATTGGAGTCCGATGGTGCGCGCGTATTTCCATCGTTTGTTGTGTTGGAGGGTCGCTCGATACAACAGCGACCCTTCGCCCACTGACTCGTGAGTATAAAAACGGATTCCTGCGG